CGCACCCCCAACCACCACCCCCGCCTCCGCCCGCCACTAAGAAGAGTGAGAAAAAGAAAGGCGACAATAACGGCATCAAGAAAAAGAAAACTAGGTGAGAATTGTTATTTTCTTTCCTCTAAACGTAAATAAGAATCTATTGTTATCTTAGTTCTAACCGCCTGCTTGTGTAAAACCAAACTAAAAAGGTTCTTGTTCAAGATGCGTGATCTATTTGTATCTGATTTAACTACTTACATCATTATTAAGTCCACTTAAAAGGCGTCGAAGCGGAATAAGGAAACATAAACACATTTTGGAGACGCGTAATTAAAATCTTGCTACGACGTTCTACGAGTAATGACACGGGCTACGGAGCGTAGCTCCGATGTAGTTTTTAAATCAAATTAAAGTTAATTAGCAATATTAACATTATTTTTTAATAATTTATTAACAAATTTTAACATTTAAGTTTTAGTCACATTTTCTGAAGAGATTGATACGAGTTAATTATACCTTAAAAACACGTTCATCACCATTTTTCTTTTGTATCGGAACAAAAGTTGACAGATACTTTGTTTAAATACGTCAGTTAAAAAGGTGAATTCAATTATCTTACTGCCTTGTAATATTACTTACTTACTGCGTTGGCGCAGCGGCCCGAAGTCGGTCTGGGCCTCCGACACGAGAGATTATCTTGCAATATTCATTTAACGATAATTAAAAGGTAGAAGCGTGTAGCAACACATGGGGATTACTTACTATAACCTGCATGCTTAAGCTCGTATTTACATGTCGCATATCCTTACCGTAAGTTGCGAGTTACTGTTATTGGAACACCTACTACATATACCCCTCTATATCTTTTTGAAAATATAGAACAGAGATATACAGGATGTCAAGGAAAGACACGTACAACGGAATACACACACCTGTACAGGTGTTTCAAGTTTCAGCAGTGTAAATTTACCATTAGGTAGATTCTGTTTTTATCCAGATTAAGTTACTTGCAAAGCTTTATGGTACTTTAATATGTGTTATCTCCAGTTTGCATAGTTTAAATTTTATGTACATTAAAAAAAAATGATCGTTTCGCTTCAAATACCGATGCAATATCGGACCCTTCTGTTCTCGAACTGCATAACTAATACGATGAGTATCTAAAAGCGATCACGACATATGGCTCTGTTATTACGCTGTACCATTTATTAAAATAATGTTCAAAAATTTAAGCAAAATGAGATCTACGTCACATGATTAGTTTTGTTATTAACTGACGTATTTTGTACTTGGAATTCTTAATGTACTGGTCGGATTGTAATAAAACTTTGGGCATTGCGAAGATATCAGATAAAGTTCAGTTAAGTTAGGACTTCAAATATTAATAATATTTTATGATATAACAAGATTTCAATGTTAGTAAAAAGAAAAGCACTTGATGCTGGTGTCTTTTGTTGTATCAATAAATAGGCGGCGACATATTGCGTCAAGTTAATTACCCGTATGTCCACGGGGAGTCGATTGCTTTATTATCTACGCTCCGTAACGCGAGGGCTCGTATTGCTTATGAAATAACTTGTGCAATGGCATTTCTCACATCCCTACACGTTTTATGATCGCAACAATACGTAATAAAAAATTGTATCCCCTACGTTATTCAGTTTCAAGGATTGTTGTCTCTCTATTAAGCTAGTTTCTTAGACGAAGAGCATTTAAAGTTGGTGTTAAATGCGGCTTCTAAAAAGGCTTAATTTCTATCGAAAGTTTTAGATAACTGGCTATTCTTTTTCCGCCTTTTCCGATCTACGCTTGAAATAAAAATTCTTAAAGTTAAACTTGTACTAAATAGAGATAAACCTTAATGGGGACAGAATAACACGCAAGGTAAACGAGTATTTAATAAAGTGCAATAAGTACTGTCAATTGGTAGGCAATTATAAGCGGTGGCGCGCGTCAGGGGTGAATTTAGTTTCACGCTCAATCAATTTCTGCGCGTGCGCCCGCACCCCGCACGCAGCCATATTGCACGCGTCAGATGTTTGACGCGCGATGCACCGCGACAGATACGATTTACATATCAATGTATCGTGTCCACTTCATTTTAAATTGTTATACTTTGCATATTTTATATACTGAATGTGGAATTAACTGTTGCACTTCAAAGTGTAAACATAGTGTAAGAAATCCACACTTAAGTACTGCTTAAGTGACCAATTGATGACTAGTGTGGCAGTTAGTTTGAAAAGTCATTTTATTGATAGCAAAATAAACGATGATGATGGTTTTGATATGGTATTACAATGTTCCATTTGAATTTTTAGGACTACGTTCACGGCATACCAGCTGGAAGAACTGGAGCGTGCGTTTGAACGAGCGCCGTACCCAGATGTCTTTGCCAGAGAGGAGCTCGCTCTCAAGCTGAACTTATCGGAATCACGTGTGCAGGTTAGTACCATTCATGAATATTTATAGCGTTACTTTATCTATTTACATGACTATTTAAGCTATGTAAATGTTTATTATGATTTCTTTTAATTCACATATTTATTACATCACAGGTATGGTTCCAAAACAGAAGAGCAAAATGGCGTAAACGGGAACCCCCGAGAAAAACTGGATACATCGGCTCCAGTTCCCCCAGCTCGACAACGTTAGGCGGCGGTTTCTCCGGCATCGGTGGGAATTTACCAGCGTTCCCACAGAACGGTATACCAGCTCCCGCCGACTCGTGGTCCTACCAGCACACGTATGAGTTGTCGCCGCACCACTTGCTGTCATCTGGCGGGACCGGCTATCCAGCGTTTAACTCTCAGCCCGCGGCGTATTCTTACACTACAGTACTCAATGGGCATGACGGTCAAATGTTCGCTCCGAGACATTACGACTACGGCGAGGGTAGTCCGCCTCCGCTGGGCGTGCGCGACTATCCGATGATAGCGGCCCACTCCCCGCAGATGGAGGGTCATGGGCATGATGATAAGCTGGAGTACCGCTCGCATGACCACGAGGACAAATACTCGGCGTGTGCAATGCAAGAGGAGCCGCCGCGCTACGCTCCACCTCCCGAAGACTATGACAAGTGTGGTATGGTGTCACATGACAAGCACTACGAGATGGACAGACACGCGGATCTCGCGCCCCCTGTCGTTGTCAAAATGGAACCCAGCCCCGGACAAGGTTACACATCTCTGCCCCCTTTTTTGAACTGAAATACTCCTTTTCGAAATTAACCTACAGTCAGGAATAATTTCGAAAAGGAGTATTCGATGTCAGAACGTTTACGATTATGTAAAAATAATATGATTTAATTCATATAATAAGAAAAGCAATATCGTCTAAATATTACAAAATTGTAATGCTTGGTATACAAGTTGTCGAGATTTTTCTAACTCTTTGTCACCAAAAATGTAGTTAGTGTTAAAGCTCAAAAATGCGCAAGTTATAAAACTAACTTAAGTAAGTTTTTCGTGTTTAAGCATTTTGTAATATAAGTTTTATATGCAATAAAACTTACAAATCTCACAAATAAGAAAGCTGATCGAATCAATCGGATTAGCGTCCATAAAGATATTAAGAATTGTTATAAACTCATTATCAATTATATTAATATTTTATAAGGAAATTAATTAATTATTCTAATTCGCTGTTAATTTGTAAATAGAATAGAAAAAATTTTTTGCGTAAAAATCATTACTAAGTTAGTTGTTAGTACTTTACAATATAATGTAGAATGTTGTGCATTCCTTGTGCCTTATTATAAAGAAACCTTTTACAATCGTTATATATATTATAGCTTAGATTATAATATAAAGGTATTAATACATATGAGACAAGTAGACACAATTAAAGTTATTTCACGTGCATGTTTTTTCTAATCCAAAGAAAAATATTACTTAGTTTTTTTACATTTGTAAGAATAAATTAGAAATTTATGTTCTATTTATTTCTAATTCTATCGTTCCCCACACAATATAAGTGATTAAGAGTTCTAAGCTTATGTTCGATTAGATTATTTCGTAGTAATGATTTAAAACATGTAACTTGTAGTTATTTTTTATTATATGCCAAACTATTATAAGATTTTTGTACATTTTTAAGATGTCGAATACCTTATCAGTAATTATATTTGTAAATAATTTAAATAAGACGTGAATATTGTGCCAAGATAACTGTAATTATGTATTATTCTAGGTTATTTTTTATTATAGAAAAATTTGGTTAAAACTTACAAGTTTTAATTTTTTTTACTTTATTGATATGAATAGTTTCTATAAGCATTATAAGTTTTTTTTTTAGATTTTTAAAAGAAAGCATTTATAAAATATCTATTATCTATATTGATAATCTATATAAGATGATTTTAAATTATAGAACCAGTCTGCCTTTAAAATAGAAAAAAAATATTCGTACCAGTTTTTTTTTTAATAAATTGTAATGAAAATGTAAAAAATATTAAGAAAAAAACTTTTATCACAAAGCAATAGTACATTTTTTAGAAAACCATATTCATATGTAATTTTATAAATAAAAGAGTGGTAAAATTAAACGATTTTTTTATTTTTTAAATCTTAGTTTATTTACAACATTTACAATATTTACGTGAAAAATAAAAGAAACATGTCGGAATCCAAAGAAGTTAACGCTATGCGATAAAATAAAAAAGTGTTCAAAGATAATATTTTTCCTGAGTCTGGAAGATATTTCAAATGAGAGTTGAAATGTTAATTCCGATATCAGATTTAATCTTTTCACTGGTTAGACCATAAATATGTTTTTTAATTGTTTTGCAATTGTTTCACAGATTGCATATCTTTGGCACCCTCCTGATGGCTCCAGATACCATCGCCACTGAAATGGTACCTTTTTTCAATTTCATAAAGAGTCAAACTCAATATCTGATCGTCTGTGAGCTGAGAGTAATTCAAACTATTGTAACCTCCGTCCAATTCTATATCTTTTTTTGCATCTATTGTGTGAATGCGTTTATTTAGAAAATATTCTATATAACGCTGTGTTGCCGCCCTAAAAATTTAAACATTTTAGGTACAGTCAGCTTCGTTAGAGGTGCTCCAGTTACAGAAATGTCTTTATATATTGTATCCAACTTGAAATCCACTACTTTTAAAACAACTACTATAAATTGAATAATAAGTTTGAAACCACATTTCGTGATATTTTAATATGTACAAAATTTTCAATGAATTTTCTTTCACGTTATAATAGCTGTAGCTCGTAACTTCGTCGGCGTGGAATTTAAAAAAATATAGCCTGTGTTACTGATAACGTAGCTTTTTAAAAGTAAAAGATTTTTTGAAATCAGCCCAGTAGTTTTTGAGTTATTTCAATACATATAAAAATAGAAATCTTTCCTCTTTATAATATTAGGTATAGAGATATTGTTATACCGCCAGCAAACATCACTGTACCTAACCACAAGTTTTCTGTGTTAAAATACTTGCGTTAGTTTTTATAATAAAAATATACTTACAGAGGATAAAGAAGTATTTGACAGTTATTCACAATAACATCGCCATAAAATTTCTTATTTAAATACTGAAGATTTTCATTGATAATGTACAGTGAAGAATGTAACCAATACTTATGTTTCTTAAGTTGTTGTAACACAGCCTTTTTCAAATTCGTATATCTGTCCTTTTTTAACGTTGGTAAGTCACTATTTTTGTCTTCTCTCGTTTGGATGGAATTCGCTATAAGTATTGCCATATCTCGACCGCATACTTTATTGCCGAAACTATTTATATAACTGGAACATAATAAATTGTAGAATTAGTTAAAATCTTAACACAGCAATATTTGATATTTGTATCGAGAATTCTGAAACTTCTTAGAAATACATAACACTGAAAATATACCAATCGAATTGAGAATCTATTCCTATTGGAATTCGGTTAAAAATAGTAAAATTATTAGGGAAGAAAGCAATTAAAATAAAACCTCAGTTATACTCACTTATTAAATATTTTTCTGGACGATACAAGTTGATTCAAACTGTAACACTGCTTCTTAGCTGATTGAATTTTCTCAAGGCGGGTCAACATTTTCCTTTTATGCACAACCATTGATAAAACCTAAAATGAACAAAAATAATAGTAAACTGATGTTATAAATGTTTGATAGAGTTTGTAGCTTAAACGGCCGAACGGATTTCGAAGAAATTTGGTATAGATAAAGAGGATAGTCTGGAAGAACACATAGGCTACTCACTTTTGTTTTTTAATTCCACGGGAACAGAGTCGCGGGCGAAAGCTAGTAGTAAATAATAAGCCATAAGACATTTATACTGGCAGAGCTTTTTTTACTCAAGTTTTTCATTTCACTTTTTCGTACCCATATCGAGGTAATTTTCCGGCCGATTTAAAACATTTTTATATTTTTTAATTTCACGCGAGCAAAGTCGCGAGCAACAGCTACGTAAATACAAAGTACTTACTCTAGGATGTGAGGACAATATTTGATATTCCTTCAACTCCTTCAATTGGTCCAGTCGCTCCCTGACGGACTGTGCGCGCATACAGAACACACGCAAACATCGCCTTTGAGCCTCTTCATTTATACCATAGTCCTACAAAAAAACTGTAATTTAGGTATAATGTAGCTTCATCATCACCAGCTCACTATATGCCCCCACTGAGGGGCTCGGAGCCTGCTTAGGAAAGGGGTGATGACAAACTAATTATAACATTGTTTTCGCGTGGCTATATTTATGTATGTTTAAATCGTGTTTTGTATAATTTTCAATAAATACATATAATACAAAATATTATGATCTGTGTAATTACATCAATACAATTGTTATATTCTGTGGACAAAATGGTCTCTGACTTTTAAAGATTAAGATGTAATTTGAATAATGTTTTTTTCTTAACTAATTAATGAGAACTAATAAACACTTGGCCAATATAATCAAATGATAATGTTATATACAGGCTGATTTATGGATTTGGAGGACCTAAATAAAATAGCCATTGATCCGCCTGTAAAGAATCACCCTGTATATAATATTGAAGAAACTAACTTTTTTTCATAGATCACTCAAATAGCAAATCACATATATGCAGAAGTGTTGCCTACCATTTATAAACAGAGTAGGACGCATATAAAAAAATACTCATTACCTGTAATATTTGTCTTATCTCCAATAACGAATTATAATTATTTTTTAATATGGCTGGTTCCATTTTTATAGCGTCTAGAATGTTATACCCGGCCAGTGAATCTACATTTTCAATTATAAGCTTTGTATTCATTGGATCTGATGATATAATAAATCCATTCCTTCTGATATTTGCAATGTCAAATTTGATTACATTCTGTGCTAAGTGTAACGCTTCAGAGATATCACACATTGGTCTATGGCGTAAAGGTAAGTAATTCCTACAATAACTTTTAAACTCATCTTCAGTTATAGATAATCTCCATGTAAGGTATTTCTCAAGTACACTTGTTCTTACAGTCACTAAAGAAGAAAATTATAAAAGTTCTTATTATTTTAATTTCCAACAAACATCCATCCATCTAAATGTTAAGATTAAATATACATATGACAATAATCAATACAAAAAAGAATCAAAATCTTAATGTTGTTTATGATTTTATAAATAAAATTATTTACTTACATATTGAAGTAGTTTTGTCTGAAAAATTGTTTAATTTTTGTTCCTTCTCTGGCCAGTCTTTGAAGCATTTATGTAAAACTTCTTCTAAATTAAGATTTTCCCTTAAAATACCTTCCTTTTTCAATTTAGTTATTGTTCTAGATCTCACTAATGTGTGGTATCTGAAAAAATACAAAAGTTTTTAACAAAATAGATCTGTTTATGAAAATTTTGTATTAACAAGTAAGCTTTTACTGTAATTAAGTTTAAATAGTATTTATGCTACCATTTAAATTTTTACTGTATATCATAAGATAACATAACAAGCAAATGGCCACCTGAATTCGCCGAAATAGCGAACCTACTGCAGCTCATAGACAGCAACAAACACAGAAGCATTGTCTACTTGAGACATATTTTTTTAATATTTAACTATATCTTACCTTATAATGTATTTGGGAAGGATGTTAACAAAACAACATTCCCGTAAAATTTCACCATAATTATCCATACTTATGGCATTCATGCAGAATACATGGGGATTATTGCATGCATCCTCAGCGGTGATACCAAATTTTTCAAGAATTTTAAGGACATAATCTATTTGTGTTTGGCTAACATTTTGAAGAGTTGGATGCTTCTTTTGTAAAAGCAAAAGTTTTTCACTTGAATTCACCTCACCTATAATAAAATATCTTGTAGTTATTTTAAAAATTTTCAGCAAAGAAATAAATTATCTACAAACCTTACCTGTTACTTTTTTATATAGATTTATAAAAGGTACATTGTGAGAGTATTTCCTAATTTTTTTATTTAGTAAATATGATAAACATGGTTCGGATCGTGATAGAATCAAGGCAGCTTTATTTATTTGCATTTTTCTCTTACGTTGTTTACCATATTTTTCATATAAAGTGATGATAACTATGTATCTGACTTACACATTACTTTTATTTTAAATCGATTTCAATTCAAGATTTCTATTATTTAACCTCCAAGTTTAAGTACAATAACAATAACATAACACCTTAAAAATATTAAACGTCAACGTCAAATCAAATTGACATTTGACAGTAGCAGTAAAAGTCCGGTTATAAGCACTATATTTTTTTAAAGATTACTTTCAGATTTTCAAACTTAATTTTAGCTACCAAAAGGATTTTAAAAACTTGAAAACATGAATATCATTATTATATGGAGCAATTCTATGAACTCAAATATTAATTCTAGATTTCAACGAGTCCAAGTGTTCAATTCGGTCCAAATTCCAAAGGACCTGTCCCATCTATAGCTTCCGACATATATGCAATCTGTGGTTTTAATTTAAGTTTGACTTTGATTGATAAAGTGCAATTGAATCAAATTGAATGGAAAAATTGATTGCAAATTAAAATCTGTCGAATCGGTTTGATTTCGCCGGTATTGGATTCTTTTCATTTATTGGGGCATTACGTAGTCGAATACGGAGTTGGACGGTGCAACGGTGCTCTTAACATTTTTAATTTACAAGTTATATTTTATTTGTGTTTTATAAATAAAAAAAAAACATCGATAAGAAATGGATTGGAAGAGTGTAGTAGCTCAGTTCAAAAAAACTTGGCTAACTACATTTTTAAGCATTGTACTCTTTATTGGTGTTACTTATTTTTTAATTTGGGCTGAGGTAAGAATGTTGTATATAATGTTGTGTTTATTATTTATGAATAGTCAATAGAGTACATATATTTGTTACTGTTTGTTTAGAGCCAAACAATCCGAAGTAATCTAATGTTGGATGAATTGATGTCCCATGCTGAGAGTATTGATGTACACACTATTGATGATGCTCAACGTTACGAAGGCCGAGTTGTGCATGTTATTGGTCCTCTCCGTATATTAGAACCTATCTCGGAGCCCGACTACAATATTCAAGTACAAGCTGTTAAGTTACGGAAGAGAGTGCAAATGTACCAGTGGATAGAAGAGTCAACGTAAGTGAAATGATACCATGAAGAGTTTCTTTGTTTGCAATATTTGTTAATATTATCCACAATGTAGTAAGTTTTAAATGCACCATGATTCTTTTATGGACAATTTTGAATGTGAATATTATTATTTTTTTAGAGACCAACAAAACTTTTTAAGTGAACCAGGAGATGAAAATCAAAAGACATATTGGTATCATAAAGAATGGAAAGATTATGTTGTAGACTCTGCATTATTTTACATAAGATCTGGTCACCAAAATCCTAATTCAATGCCAATCTTCAGCGAAACACATATTGCAGAGAGTGTTAAAATTGGGTGGCTGTACTTAAGTAAGTTATTATGTTAAGAAAGTACTAATAAAATACATTTCCCCAATATCAAACTATATAAGAGAGAGAAAGCATCTTTTTCAATATTTGTTATTTATTTATTTTTTAGGTTTAGATGTAAAACGTAAAGTAAATGACTATTACGAGATATGGTCTGACTCTAGACCGGAACGCAGTGATATCAAGTTGCATTCTGGTTTTTATTACCATGGTGCGAGTGCCTTGGAACACGAGGTTGGAGATCTACGGATACATTTTTCTTATGCAGGACGTGAGGATGATATTGTAAGTTGTTAGATTTAAAATAATCATATTTTAACAGAGTTTAGTGACAGTCGTCCTTATTTAACAAATTCGAAAGCTAAGCTAACAAAATTATTATAGGTCTAATTTTAAGAGTCTTGTTTACTTATCTAGGGGTTGTGGCTGCCACCTCTACTGGCCCCTGGTCACTTCCATGTGATTTAGTAATTTGTTAATCAAAGTTCAATTAAAAAATGCTTTCTCCCCTTTACAGTATACAGCAGTAGGTGTGGTAGAGTCTGGTTCTCTACAACCTTATAGTCCTGTCAACTTCCCATCAGCAGACCCTATATCGCTGCTCCGCAAAGGATCTTACACTCAGAAGTTTCTACATGATTTGGAGAAACAAGATGCTAATATACATACATGGAAGTACCGTATGGTTGGCTTCATACAAGTATTTGCATCAACTATGACTTTACATCCAAACTGGATCACTCTGTGTGAGTTTATAAATATCTTTTTTTTATATAGAAATAAAGTAAAAGATATACTGTTACTTTATTTTTATTTATTTCAGTTTTGCAAAGCAAGTGGTTATCTAACGCTCTGAGACGCTGTTCCCGGCTGTGGGTTAACCTTGTGCTGTCTTTCTCCTATACTTTATTTGTTATGTCAATACCTTGGTAAGTTTATTTTCATAGTAATTCATATAACATACTGTTGTACTAACAATTGTTAATTGAATTAAGAGTAATCGATTTCTATAATGTAGAATAATTATAAAGAACTAGTTTTCGCTCGCGACTCAGTCCGCGTGGAATTAAATGCATCTATACCAAATTTCATTGAAATTCTTTCAGCTGTTTAGAGTACAAACTGTATCAAACATCCATCTAAACTTTCGCATTTATAATATTAGTATTAAATAATGTATGTGAGTGTGAAGGCTAATGTTTCGCATTAAAAATATAAAGAGTTTTGTTTGCAGGTTGATCCACCGTCCGGTGTTCGGTGCGATGGTGTTGGTGGGCGCGGCGCTGCCCCTGCTGCACTACTCCACTCTACTGAGCCGGCAGTCGGGGGTAGCGGGCTGACACTCGCCCCCCCTGCCCTCCGCACTGCCGGCGTACGCCCTCACCCTCGGGGAGTTGTTAAGCCTCTCCTTCATGGCGCTCTTGTATTGTGTCATTATAATTGAGGATGTTGCAATGGAGCTGTAGAAACCAGTGTTTAGTGTTGATTACAGTGCCCAGTGATTAAAATACTTCATTTTAGTGTTATCTAAGCTATTATAGTTGACACAAATTATCCTTGTTTATAAAAATTGGATGGAATGTGAAATTATTAGATATGACAGATTGACGGCTGAACCCAATAATTTGATAAAATATCTGTATGGGATTTAAGCATGACATTACCAAAATTATTTGTAATCGCTTTATTATTATCTATATATTTACAGTAAATAAATGTGATGTAATACAGATCAACATATTGCCAAGTAATAAGCCATGTTGTCAGATACATATTTTTTGCTTGTATCTTTTAGTAAATAACTAAATAGATCTCATTTAAACAAATAAGTAGCTGATAGGATTTATTTTTAGACACTCGCATACCTATTTGCTTCTAGATATACTTGTTATCCATATATGTTAAGGTAAATTGTTCCCCCTAATGTGATCTTATTGCTTTTTATTGTCAAAATAAAGCAGTCACTGGATTTTTGACAAAATTTTCTATAAATATTTTACCGTACGCATTATAAACAAAAAAAATGAAGAAAAACAGCAAAAATCTAATCTAGAAAAATTTAATAGAAGTGAAATTTTTGTTTAAATAAATAAGTAACATTGATTATAATTTTATTGTTCTCAAAAAATTTCTGTTCTATTATTCCTACTCTTATTTAGGTTTTTACGTGATTCGGTTCCTGTGTTTTAATACTGTCAGTGGCTAAATACACTTAAGTGTAAGCCAAAAAAAAGTTTAGAAAAACTGTCTTACTAATAAAATTTCTTTTGGACGTTTGCTAAAGACTGATTAGGATAATCAATAGAATCATTTGCTCAACAAACATATTTGTTGAAGTTTGATACTTTTTTTATAACATACATCTGTTCCTAAATATAAACGTACTTTTAATAATGATTTTACGTACTTAATACCTAGGTATTTAGGGATCTGGATCCAAATGATTTGAAAGAAAAAAATCCCTATGCTTATAGAAGCTGGGTATACATGGCTATTAGTTACGGTGTTGAATTTTTTATACCATATATATTTTGTTAAAATTAAAATTGTTTTAATAAATACGGAACTGTTGCCAAATTCAACGTGAGTAGATTTTCAAGTTACAAATAAAACGATTTTCAAGATAACGCCTAGTTAATTTTGGGTAGCAATTTTTCTTACTGAATTATTGTCCTAAATGAAACGCGCACAGTTTTATTAACATTTAAAATGTGCTTATATCTCAATAAAATATCTTCACTTTAATTCATTAAAACTATTTCGATTTTTCCTATAAAATGGGTTGTTTACGATGCGTACAAATATAATTTTTTTACAGTTTTAAGAAATATGTACTAGTCATTATAAATTACTAATGTAGCGTAATGTACTTTGTACTAATAGTTATAACCCATATCAGGAATGAACCAATATTTAAGTCCATTTTCTACCCTTTTACTGTTTATACAACGCTGAGAAAATTAAAAAAAAAAGTAAAAACGAAAAAGAATTTGACGAAATGTTTTGCGAAAACATACAGTGAAATGTTTCCTAGATAATTTCCATTTTTAAATTTCTCAGCAATATTTATAGAAACCTAAGTATATGTCTTAGTATTTTCTTATAATTATTCTTAGTATAATAATTGTAATGTGGTAAATGTAATATGCAATAAACTTTACTCCTTAAATGTATAACTAAAGGGTTTAGATATAAAAATGATTAGTGAGAAAAAAAAATAAACTAACAGCCTTACAAATAACCGCAGTATAAAGTAAACTGAGTGTAAGCAAAATTTGTACAAATATTTGCTTATACTCAGTTTATTCCTAAGTTTAACTTTATACCGCGTTTATTTGTAACTAATATTTTATCTCATCTCGATTATTAAAATGTAACCGATAAGTCTTAATATTGATGTAACAAGTAAAGGAAACTCTTAGATAATCGCCTTTTATTTAACACCCAATTGTTACCTAATAAAATAAGAAAAAAAAACAATTTCGTCTCTCATAAATAGTTTTGAGCTTTTATTATCGACTCAATGCCGTCTATAAACATTCCTCGATTCACGTATAGTAGAAGTCTCTTTGACAATTATTAGACAAAGTAATATTTTATTAATAAAACTTTCTGCCAAGGATAAAGGAATTTTAATATCCATTTTTTTTACATGGTTCCGTTAGTAAATATGTAACATTGCAATTATCTTAGCATCAAATATTTGTTATATTCAAGTAAATGTAATAAATGAAAATGAATGGATTTGACCAGTCGATAAGCTTTATTTTTATGTAATCTATTCGCATGCGCAGTTCAATACTCAGACGATCAGCTGATTTTACTCCACCCTCGACAAAACGTAGTGTTTATTTTACACAAGGTTGTGAAATACAATAATTTTTATAATAAAACTAAATTAAGTGTGTCCTATAAAATTAAGTGATAATCCTAAGGCGTATACTGCATCTAATAAAAGTAAAGTAAAAGCATTATAACATATTTAAAAAGTGTAAAAAATGAAAGCTGCAGCGATGTCCGTGTGGGTTTTTATTAATCTCTTATGTTTCGGAATGTGCGGTTATTTGTATTTAATATGGTCACAGTATTGGATGAATATCGAAAGACAAAGACTGTTCAACAAAACGCCCAGCAATACGCAGCGCAATACCGGCCAAGATATAAGATACCAGCAAACTTACTCTGAAAAATATCACACAAACTCACTAACTTATCCAAGAGAAAATGACAACGGACGTAAGAATAGAAGATCTATAGTTGCTATGAAGAATAATGGGAAATTGTATCAATCTTCCGGAACACAAGTCCGACCGTCTGCAAACGTTGTGGTGAAAAGTGGAAGTCCAAGATTTCCGAACATACACAAGCCTATATTAGAGTTTGATAGCGATAAATATGTGTGTGATGACTACTTAACAACAGATTGTGAAACGAGGACGGCAGAATTCAAAACTTTATTATTAAAAGAGTTCCATAGGGTTTTGATGAGTGAAAGTAAAGTTTTTACATCAGGATTAGATTCTCAAAACCCTTACGATGTACATTTTGAAAGAGGACAGTGGAAGGAGCCAACTAAGAAGGATATACTTTGCGCCTTAGCGGCTGTCTCAGTTAGAACTGTTACTGCGGAGGACGAGCCTTTCAGGAGACTTAATTATAAAATACCTAAGGAGCCTCTGCAACTGCATCGTGCATATAACACATGTGCTGTGGTAACTAGTGCAGGATCATTACTGGGATCGCGCTTAGGCGTTTTTATAGGTGAGTCTTAATTAATTATTTCTTTTCAATTCTCTGAAATTTTATTGGTTTAACTTTTAGCTATATTTTTTAAATGGCTGTTAACCATTTTTTCATTTTACAATCCTGTTGTTTAAGGCTTTTACATTTGTGGCAAAACATTTTGTATGTAGCCTTTTAAAAATCTTGTAACGTAGGCGCTATACAGGATGTTGTGCATTTTGATAAAATGATGTTACATTAAACTGGTTATTCACGCCCGCGCATTTATGAATCACAATGCTTCTATAGTAAGTATACGTTTCTAGTTACGAGTTTATTTTTACAGTTACCGTCCCCAATGTGCTGTCAGTAACTAGCTTCACTAATTTTAACTCTTCTTATTTTGTCGCGGGTCAATGACCCAAAATGGGCGCATTTGCAACATGTGATAGTGCTCAAAAAGTCGGTTAACTGATCTAAATCTGAATTAGTATGCATGCTTAATTACATGCCATTGCCACCCATAAAAGATTATTTAATGTCTTACTTAAGGATACCGAACTAGTAAAGCTTCTAATGAATCTGAATAAATTGTATCGACAATTTAAGTACAAAAAATCTCATGGAACGAACGCGATCAGGAAATGTAAAATACCTGCATTTCTACGACTTTTTTATGTTAAATCTCTTCTCTTTTCTAGTGACATTGCATTCGCAACTCTTATAGGCAGCGACAGAGTAGTAATTTAATATAAAAACACACCCTGAGAATAAAAAAAGTACTATTCCGCTAATCTCCACTAATATCGTTTGTGGGATGCAGTTTCGCATTCCAGGCACTAGAAATAGCACGGTAATATTCTTTGTAGATATGATAATAGTCTGATTGTACTAAAGTTCGTAGTGGTGCCGGTGACAGGTGATCGACCGTGTATTGTTGCAGCTATCTTTGCTGCGGATCTTTTTTCTTTGTAGACGCATTGTCATGCGCGCTGGCCCGCCTTCGGCGAACGTCCCAAAACATATGCGAATTACGTGAATTACTATTGTTCACGGGACTTTACTGATTACTCACAGACACAAATCAAACGTGTAGACAACTAGGTACCTTTGCGAGATGCCGACTATTTATTATCGACCGAAGGAGATATATGCAACGCGTTTCGCATCGTGAAAAGTAAAAATATTCCTCTACACTGCATACGAAAGTATTAAAATTTAAAAAGTTAGAAACAATAATAAATCTTTTCATGCCATAAATACCGTCGCTGATGCCAATATTCTGGTACATTTGAAAGAAAGACCTGTCTAAAGGTTAATTCTAAAACACACCATGCCTAATAGTATCACCATTTTGTTTACTAGTGTATGTTTTTGTTTATGTAGCATGTTAATTCTCTTAATTAAATATTTGTTTATTTCACATAGCGTAGCAATGCTTAGACGATGCAGAATAACGAAGTGGTACGTGACAACATTGTTTTTAGAGATAATTCTAATAAGCTCATACAAATCGTTGTTTCGTGTTGATTTATTCATGATCGTGGAGAATCTAGCTGAAGATATGCATAGGCGACGTCTGGCCGAGCTCGAGCTATTGCTTGTTTCACACGAGGGAAAAACAGTTGGGTAGAGCAGTAGCCATTGCAGTAATGACATTGCTTGATAAATAATACTGTTATGTCTCTATGTGCATTCAAACAATTGCAATACTGCACTGTCTATTGCTCTATTCTGCAATTTAGTAACTAGCGTATCGGCAAGGGCTCACTGGCGCCGCAGCAACGCATACCGCTCTATAAAACTAACGCGTTCGCATCGGAAAATCCAACTAGGACTTAGTAAAAACTCTTATCGACAACATTTGCATGCCCACAATATTCAAGATCGGAAAAGATTACACTAGTACGAAAGTCTGTACCATGTCTGATGTATGCAATTTTTAAACAAAAATTGACAAATGTTAGATATTAAAAGCGTAATAGAAAATTGTAGTTAGTATTTTAAAAATACTGTTCGTTTGCAATAAAAAATGTTTCCGAATAATTTTCTTCAGTTTTCATTTCGTTAGATTTGATCAGAATTATGGTTTTCCGTTTTTAGTTTATAGTTAAAAAAATCCTGAGCTTTTTATGGTGGTTTTCTCAGTGATTAAGCATATCTTTATTCGTGTAAAGAATCCTCAATCGGCTCTGATTATTTGTTTACATTGACGTTCCTTTTAAGATTTATCTTAGCTCCCAAGATTCGGTTCTCAATTGTTTTTGCACTACAATGATTTTAAATTCCAATTTTTGCAATAAAATGTTTGCAATTCATTTTTTACTTTAATTAAAAATTATATATTTTATTAAATGGCAATTGCATTGCACATTACGTTCACGAATTTGTAATGTAGGAGTTTTGTATCTCGGTATAGACTTTGTACCATGAGGAAATTCGAACTTGGTTTCTATAAATCGGAAGTCACACTTTGTTGTTCTGAGCTGTCATGTAGTTGTGTAGTTACTTCCTTAGTAAATGAATTGCATCGCATGATTCATTCAACAAACCATATTATTATGAATTTTTATGTTAGTCATACACTAACCGCAAACCATGTCTTTGTCCTTTCTCGAAAACTTTGATAAGTTTATAGCTCAGACGCGGGACAGACAATTGACACGTTGTCACTTAAATGACTCGTCAAAACCAAGTTATATATCTTCCTTATGTATTTCAAATTCTTAACTATTCAAGGGGGAGAAATGTAGTGAATACTTTATTGAACTTTTCATAAAAAGTTACAAAAGTTTTAAAAGAAATGAGAGCAATATATTTACTATGTACATTATATTTAAGATTCTTCTTTCAACAATCTGTACAAAAATGGATCCCCGACATTAAATAAAACAAAAATTACATATGATACTGTACTGACAAGTTAAAAAACAAACGTTAAAGATATTGTTTCCACGAACATTGTGTTACAGATTATATTTAGCAATGTCATTAGCTTGTGGTGCTAATTGAACGTGAGATGAACAGGGGGCGTGAGGTTGGTCGCAAGGGGTGCGGAGGCGTTCGCGTATTGTTTACATTGTAGAGGCGGCGACGGTGCGCGACCGAGCCGTGTCATCAACCTGCACGTGCATAGGGCCTGCATAATTCATGCGCATGGACCATTGTGTTTGCGATCGCTGAACGGTCCTACGATTCTGCGCACAACTGCGCATTTTATTATAAATAATTTTAAATTACTCTCAAACACGAAATTCACTGCTTGTTAACTCTGAACACGTGTAATGGTTATGTAAAGAGGTTAGTATAATACGCACGAGCATTTACAACGCGTGGGTACATATAAAGTAACTATGAACGTGTAAGCATCGGATTCTAATTACACTGTGATTATTAAATGTATCTTTTACGAACATACAATATCTAAACGATTCCTTACGTTTCCATTTATATACAAAAAATTCAAAACAAACGACTTTTTCCATTTATATTGCATTTTCAGGAATGAGGTACCAACATACCTAATTTATGTTCACCCTACACTCATCATAAACCATCTCACTCTCCTTTTTCCAGGATAGGTCATATATTGATAGAGAGATGATCGGGAAGTAAACTAAAGGTTTTTTTTTGTATAATTGCCTAAGACATATAAAGTATATATAATTTAATGGAACAGAGACGTTTAAAAGCTACGCCGTTGGTTATTGTTACGCGTCGTTTCTACGTATAAACGTTCATACGAACTGTAGCTTTTAAGGACCGCTGCCAGTTCCCCTGATTGTACTTTACAAATTATTTCGTTTTGTGAATGAATATTTGAATGAGGAAGTAGAGTTACTAATAAAATATAGTACAGTAAAGTACATTTTAAACGGTCATTTGAATTTCTTGAAATTTCCTAAAATATTCTAGTGATTGGAAAAACCGAGTCGTTTTCTATTATGCTAATACGTTTGCTAACTATATGAGATGTCGCCTGTGTATAAAATTAGATTACAAATCACAGTGACTATGAATAATGGTAACAAACGTAAATACTTTTAAAGCATGTTATGTAAAATACATTAGGTATTTGAATAATAATTTCATTTAATGTATATTAAGTATGAATAATTTAACTAAGGTATAGAAGACATTATCAAATTTAATGTATATGCCACGAGTTGACATAAAATAAATTTATACAAAATTGTTACCTACCAAGTTTGTGTCTCCCGCCAAAACCTATTACTCTAATTTTCAAAATCAGCTTAACTATGGGATTTTATTTATCTGGTGTTAAAAAATAGAGGTGAGAATGTTAGGTTCGTTTTGAAGGTTTCGCATGTGTTGTGATCGACAAAGGGTGCAACATTTCAAACCGTCACTGAACATTTGATAAGGGTACTTATAAATATTTAATTACAAACGATGATAATCAATATAAAGTGGCACATTTTTTTTTGGCTTCTGTTTAATTAATTTAAGTTGTAAACTCAATAACATTATAACATTATGATGTTAAAGTGATTACAATTTCTCCATCGGAACTAATGTTTATTCTCGGTGCGATGCCTTCCGGCACTTGTCTAGCCAGGGTCGAGGCCCGCATGGAAAGATATATGTGACATCTGCATAGGAAACATGATGATTGATTATCCCAGTTTTAATTTTAATCAGTTATGCAAAAACACCTTTTTTAATATTGTTTATTAGTGCAACAATAGAGTTAGCAGATTTATTTATTTATTTATTTATTTAAAAAAACCAACAGCGTACATATATAAAACACTTAAACGTTGAGTATTATGTATAGTAAGGCCAATGACAGGTTTTTTATTTATAGTTATAAAAGTATATAATTCAATGATAAAGAAAACTATAAAGAATCAAAAGAAAAAAAAGAAAAGAAAAAGAAAGTCACACATCACAGTAAAGGGGTATAAATGAATGTGAAGAGAAAATAAAATCTTACTAATATTATAAATGCGAAAACTTAGATGGATGAATTTAGTTAGGTTAAGGTAGCAGCGATTGTTTTCGTCAATCTTTTACTAATATGTTGCATTATCCACAGATTCACATGATATGGTGCTAAGGTTTAACAACGCCCCCACCGAAAATTATACAGAAGACGTGGGTTCAAAGACGACGTTTCGCGTCTTGAATTCTCAGGTATTTGTTATCTAGATTATCAAATATTTTAAAGAAAAACAGTAGCAAATGGTTAAGAAACTGTGCAGCTAGCTTTATCAAATGGCTGTTTAAATGCGCCTTACCTCTTTCCCTTCGCATTTCTCTCCTTAATTACAATTACCTAATATTTTTACGGACATTTATTACACCAAAGAAATTGTAGCTAGCCCAAAACTTAAATTTAATGTTACTGAAACAGTTTCAAGAGACTAACGTAATCAGCTCCAAGAAGAAATATATCTTACTGTATTCTAAGGGTAATTTAATGATCAATAAGCAATTCTGAGTGTAGCAGTCAGTAGCAAGTGATTGACAAACTAGGCTATCGCTTGCTTATATGCTATCTTTCACCATAAAAGCAGATTTGTTGTAGAACTGTGGTAAAATTGGTAAAGTTAAGGAGATATAAGGATCGATTACATCACCACCGTGAGAGTGGATTGAAAAATCAATCTCACATACAAATTGTATGGTATAATTTGTTTACCTACGTGGTATTAATATTGATAAATTGACAAATTTCGAGTTATAAGTAAATATGTAAGATTAACAAATGCATGAAGTGAATGAAATGTAATATTTTTATTAATCCAGTAGTGTCTACAAATGCAAAGGATTCAAAATTTGGACTTTTTCAAAAATATTCACTTCACGTCTGTCTTTTGTGTGTTTTACCAGAACAATAGAATAAATACGTATAAATACTTCTCATTTCATCTTCTAGTACTGTCGATGGACCTGAAGTTAAAATAATGTTTTCCTTTTAACGCATTTAAAAAATAGGCGATTCGACGATTCCAGTGAAATGTTTATCTGTCACATAGTTTATTGTTCGCTAGAATGTTTTTCATTTAGTAGTCCTATAACAAAGTATTTTTTAGTTTTCCCTAACTTCTTTACCTTATGCAGTCTTTGGTTAGCAAACATCGCAAATCTTGGTAGTTAAATATCGACGGCTAGCGATGTCCACTTTTAAAAAAAAAGTTTTTATTGGAAAATAAAATCAAGAGACAGCACAGCGCCTTCTCTCGTTTCATTTATTTATGTAAACATAGAGAAATCTGTTTTATACTTTTTGTTAAGTAAATTTTAATTTTTGAAAATTATTATCGCTGATTAACCTTAGTTTTAAGATTAGCATTAAAAATAAATATGTATTAATTAAAAATGTTGATTTAATTACATTTGACCTACATAACCTTTTTCTTCTAGGTTGTTACGAAACCAGAATTCAAATTCTTGGACGATCCCTTGTACAAAGACGTTTCAATATTAATATGGGACCCCGCAAATTATTCATCAACTTTGGACGCATGGTACCATCATTCCGACTTTCCTCTTTTTCCTGTCTACAAAAGGTTCAGTTACAAGAAATAATTCATTTTACATTCTTGTTTTCCTCAATTAACGTGTTTACCTACTCATGGATTTTTTACATAGATTACTTGAAATAAGACCAAAAGCTGACGTCCATTTGCTACATCCTAACGTGTTGTGGAGTTTATGGTCGGTGCTGCAAAATTCGTCATCCTATCGCCTCAGGAGAAATCCGCCGTCTTCTGGTTTTATTGGTAAATTATTTTTTCTATATAGAATAATTATTGAGCTTAGAGCTTGATTGATCTACATTGATATTAGGAGGTGATGTGATGTAAAGTATTTATTGTATGAAATTATTATGACTTGTGACAATTTGAGTGTACCCAGGTGTTTGGTTCGCGCTGCACCGGTGCGGGCAGGTGCGTGTGTTCGAGTACGTGCCGTCGAGCAGAGCCACGCGGCGCTGCCACTACCACTCCCCCCGCGCAGACCCCGCCTGCACCCTCGGCGCCTGGCACCCCCTCGCGCAGGAGAAGGCCCTCGCCGAGGCGATACGAGATAACTCCGACATCGACGTATTTCAAAGAGGCTTCATCGATATCCCAGGAGTTAACAATATCAATTGCAATACTTAATTTGTTTGTTATTAATGCACAAGTCTTCCAAAGAGCTTTTCGCGTATATTGATAGATTTATATTAACTTTAGAAGGCCTCGTTTCGCCTACTACTTATATAAATGTCCATAGACTTGCGTGGCTTTGTAATGTGTTGTTATAAGCTTGTTAATGATAGCAGTAAGATGTTGTCTTCCCAATTAGAATAGGTTAATAAACTACTTATTTATAATTTATAACATGAATTTTAATTAATTTAACTAGATATTTTTGTTTTTTTTGTCGTCTTCATTTATAATTTGATACAGTGTGACACGTTCGACGAACAGGAACGAATATTAGACTGATTTTATGAGATTCATGTAAGGTCATGTCGGCCATGAGGCGCCCTTGTTGTAGTATCTCGTATTTTTAGCGATTTGCTATCGCACAGCGGGCATCGCTCGCTAGTTGAATACTGATGGGTGGGCGCGTTGTGGCTGGCGATTAGCGATTCCGAGCGAGCGCGCGGAATTAGCGCGACATCCGAGAAGCTGCGCAGCGACGTCGCTACAAGCTCCCA